ATACTGTAGAGGATCAGGATATGTGCAGTTTCAACAATAAAATAAAATGCAATAGTCTACATTACAAGAGAGCAATAAACATGTCTCAGAGTGAGGGAGGTGGACACAGACAACACTATTGTTTGTTACAGGGATGAGAATTGGTCAAAAAAGACTGAAATGCATATTGTCAGCCATTTGCTGGCTCTAAATCTGTTTAATTTGTTCACAACATATTACTTTTGGGCTCAAACATGAACTTTTAATGCAATGCAAAATGTAGGTATCAGAGCTTTATTTAGGGCGTTTAATCGCGCTTCGAGAGGAGAGGGGAGACGCGGACTGTTTCCTGCAGCAGTGTATTTATTGGGTGCACAGATTACTCAAAGACACGCATGGTCCTGTGCGAGTTTATGGGGTTGGGTACATGGCCACGATGAGGCTGCGCGCTCAGCCACAACACGGTGGAGCGGCTGCGAGCGGCTGGACGCTCACAGCCTCTCGCCGCCGCTGGACGCTCACAGCCTCTCGCCGCCGCTGGACGCTCACAGCCTCTCGCAGCCGCTGGACGCTCACAGCCTCTCGCCGCCGCCGGACGCTCACAGCCTCTCGCCGCCGCTGGACGCTCACAGCCTCTCGCAGCCGCTGGACGCTCACAGCCTCTCGCAGCCGCTGGACGCGGAAGCTGCTCATTACAAAGCGGCCGCAGATGCCCCGGAACACTGCGGCCGCTGAGGTGGTGGAATCCCGTTCGAGTACATACAGCAGGTGCCCCGCGGATACGCGCGCCCCGCTCCAACAATTCTCAACAGATTTACACTTCTCATAAACATGTGTTTTGTATGAGGCAGACAGACCGGCCCAAATATGGGCATCGGCCCTTTGGGCATTGCCCGGTACGCCCGATGGCCAGTCCAGCCCTGTTCGCTGGCATCCTTGAGCTTGGACTACAAATTAAGTGATGCACAGTAGAGGGGGGCTGGGCCGAAGTGTTTTGTTAGACGCCCATGCCCTTATATGGCAGTCTCGCTGCAAATACTGTGACGTAATAATTCTAAACACGTAATAGAGAATGGCAAAATCAGAACGGGTTGAAAAATCTTACCTAAACAGAATATGAAGTGTTCTCGGCAACCCATGAAGAGACCGATTTCAACTTTTTTGCACTTCTAGAGGCTCCAACTACACAACATAAGGCATTTAAGGCACAAAAAGTGGATTTTTCATGATATGTCCCCTTTAATCTGAGCAGTATTTGGGGGTGGGGTTATATTGAATGTTTTAGAGTAAATAAAGTTTGTAAAACATGTGCGGAGGCGAAGCAGAAGCAGTAGCTGCGGAGTGAGAGCAGAGCGAAAGAGTGGCCTTCAGTATCATAGAAGTACTCGGTCTGGAACTGGCTAACTCAGATTCAGAGGAGGAAGACACGCAGGTGTTCAGTGAAGCAGACCCAGACACTATAAGTGAAAGGAGTCTGCGCCATAATGGTCCACAATCAGCCCCTGTACAGCGGGGTTCACCTCCGAGGGGCCGCGGTGGAAGCATTCTGTGAACGCCAGCCAGAGGACGGGGGGTGGGGGGCATAACACAGCACATGTGGGCGAAAGTAGCGGAGGTAAACAACCACAGGAGAAACCGTGGGGGTTTTGCGTTCACTGCATTTACTGACAGCGATGATGAGGATGAAGGTGGATCTTAAGAGAAAAGAATCCACAGAAGTGAATCAGAAATGTTGAAGAGCCTGTTGTTTATTGTGTAGAGGATCTGACATGTTCTGAGCCCATTCATTTCATTTTTTCAAATTCATTTTTGTAAACAATACATTCTGGAGCCTCATTTCCACTGAGAGAAATATTATGCCCAACACTTCTTTGAAAGGGAAATAATGAAACCAAACTCAGATTTCATGACTGTAAACTATAAAGAGTGCCATCCTGATCATTGATGGTCTTTGAAAATAATCAGGGAATTTTTTTCTATTCCAAATTAATTTCATACTAAAGATATTTCACATTGACCGTTTTCCCTGATCTCAAAACACACTCAAGCTACAGCTTTTTGGAATCTTTATACAATAATTTACATTTTCCAATATGGCTGCCACCTCAATGACATCACAATATGCAAATTAGATGTCAAATTAATTTACATCCCAAAGTTTAGTTCAAACTGAAGATATTTCTAATTTACAGTATTCCTTAAAGTTATGGCCTTTTGAAATCTTGAAATCTAAATTGTATATTTAACGGTTAAACTGTTTATTCTCTGATCTGTTGTTGGTGATTTCAATAGTTTTGTTAAGTCCTCTGAAATAACTACTGTTGAGATTTAGGACGATACAAGAATTATTTGAATTGAACGTCGCCATTTGGAAACTCCAAATCCCAGAATGCAACACATCCCGCTCTCTCACTTCTCCTCGGACTCTGCAAAGCGCGGTGGAGGTCATTTACGTGACTTTGCTAAATTATATTGTTTAATAGCCGCTTGTTGGAAGTTTTCTTACGGTGTACGAAGGACGAGGATAAAGCATTGGAGCTGACGCGGTTTTGCGTGAGTTCAAACTAAAGTTATTCCTGTGTACATCACCCTTTAGATGCAGGCGGCTCTAAAACATCCGTGAGCACGTGCGCTGACATACTTGCAATACCACTCCTAGCCAGTGGGGGGTGGACACAGACAGAGAATAAGTAAATGCGGCTTTACAGAATGGTCCAAAAGTCACGCGTGGGAGGGGCAGCCATTTTGAAAAAGTCCCATAGAAGCCCAAGGTGATGGCACATTAGTTTCAACGACAGAGATAGGTGTGACTATGTTCTTAATATTTACAGTCTATGGTAGCTAATAGTTAAGCTAACTTTGACTACGCTTGAATGAGGCACGAACCATGACATCAGGTTTAACTAAAGTTACTTTCCCGTCAGGTAATTTCACTCCACGGCGAATTTTTCAGATGTAAAACTTCACCGAGTTTAAAGGTGCTCGGAGTCTGTGGTGCAGGGAAGCGGATTTCCAACTAAATGTTTGGCAGTGTAGGTCACATGTGGCTCGTGCTGCTTCCTGACGCTGCCGTTGTCTCCGTCTGTGCTCGATCGGGATCATTTTTATAATTTTTTTAAAAACCAATGAGTTTATACACAAGGAAGAGTGATGGCAAGTGGGCGACGGATAAAAAAATAAATCAGGTTGCTATTTTTATCCTAGCTGGTATTTTGTGAGAAAACACAGATTAGAGTGGATACAAATATAAATATACTTTGTGGTCTACACATTTTTTTACGGAAAACAGGAAGTGGTCAACACAGCCCAGCATTAGTGACTTCAGGGACAGATGTTCTGCTTTACTCTGATGTGGTCAGATTTGTGCTGATTTCTGTTACTGTTTAATGAGTCTATACACCAAGGTTTTTATTTTCCAAGTATTGTGCTGCACTGTTGGCACGAGCAGAGGGAGGTGGATACAGGTAGAGCATGTCCCAGTGTTGCACACCTTTGACCAAGTATCAGAAATCAGCGTCAGTTTGTCTTTTATCTGGGATCGTAAATAATGAATGAATGGAAATAACTGGAGGATTTATCTCTAAACTGTATCTATAACCCTGAAGCTTTCTAACTAAAGGCTGAAATGTAGCTAGGGTCAAATTAAAAGCACTAAAAAGAGTGAATATTACTTCATACCACGGTTTGAAAAGGACTTTAGTCGACATCGCTGCTTGTATCACAGACAATGTAAGCCTTGAGCACTACATTCAAAGAAATAGTTCAGTAAAAGTGTGATCTTTTGAAACACAGACAGGTGTGAATCATTCTGTTCAAGTGTTGGAAATCATCTGTAGTTCAATGAGACGCTAGTTTGAAAGGGACTGTATCGTCTGTTCAAAGCAGAGATTTGTCTTGTAACACGGCACATTTAAAAATCATTCACTAAAACACTCGTACAATAGTATTCTCATTTTGTGGGTATAATGTGGTCTTTTTTGGTGTTAAAAAATTTTTTTTTTTTGACGAGCAGTATCATCTTTAGCGGTTTCTATCAATAATTATCACGTAATAAAGATTTCGTGGAAAAATTGCGGCTGAGGTCGAAAACAGGAAGTGACGCATCGGTAAGGGTCCTCAGCTCACAGAGAGTCAGTGTTGAAGACAAGGGTTCTCACGTACTTGTTATTCTGAGGTTGAGGAGTCGGACCGACGTCGGTTCTGATAAGGAGCAATCTTCAAGAACTGTACATTTGCTTTGGTGCATTTGTGGACATTGTGAGTTAATGCCGATCGTACTCGAGTCTCTGTGTTGTCAGGAGAACGATGTGTTTACCCTCACAATGGATCAGAATGGATCAGAATGGATCACAATGGATCAGAATGGATCAGGAACCAGGACCGGAGCAGAGCATACACAGATGCATTCAAAAAAGCATGTCTTTACCCTGTAGTCCTGGAAATTATGACGGCATCGTTGAAAGTCGTGGGCGAGGATTTGAGAGCGCCAATCTCCATTTTCTTTCAACACAAATTGAGTTTTACCATTTTAATTTTACATGTATGTGTGTATTTTATCAAGGTGCTTACTATTTTTCCAGTTTAAAAATCCAGACTTTTTCCAAACTGATATTTTTTACGTCTTGTACGTACTGTATACATGTCTGCGTACTGCCTTCTTCATTGGTTGAGATTGTACCAACTGTGTTTATTAGAAACGTTCATTTGTATAGACTAGTATTCAATGAAAAAAATGTCCCATACTTTTAGACTTTCACAAAAATTCAAGACTTTTCAAGGTCTGGAAAACAGTGTTTCAAAATTGCTATAAATGTGCGATGTACAAAGTTGACATGTGTCTGACCTAAGTACAGTCTACAGAGTTTACAAACTCGTCCATGAGCCGTGTACGAACAACAGGACACAGTGTGGAGGCCACTGCTTTACTCAGACTGTGACAGACCAAAAACAGACATTATTAGTAAAGTGCATTTCTATATCCGTTGCATCGGTCTGGAGAGAGGGCAAGCACGATTTGCGACTCACGGCAACTTCCGGTGACTCGCGTCACTCAGGCGCTCTGAGTCGCGGCTCAGGCGCTGTGAGTCGCGGCTCAGGCGCTGTGAGTCGCGGCTCAGGCGCTCTGAGTCGCGGCTCAGGCGCTGTGAGCCGCGACTCAGGCGCTGTGAGCCGCGGCTCAGGCGCTGTGAGCCGCGGCTCAGGCGCTGTGAGCCGCGGCTCAGGCGTTGTGAGCCGCGGCTCAGGCGCTGTGAGCCGCGGCTCAGGCGTTGTGAGCCGCGGCTCAGGCGCTGTGAGTCGCGGCTCACGCTCAGCATTCAGGGGTGTGGCTCACGATTATCAATTTAACTTTTTAGGGGTATCTGTGGATTATTAATGACACATTGTGGATCTGGAGGCATATATTTACAAGTAATCAGTATGTTACACACTCTTCATCATCTGGTATGTGTTTATATAGCTCTCCATGTTTGTTAACCACTGACTCAGGAGCTGTGAGTCGCGGCTCAGCAGTCAGAAGTCATGGCTCACGGTTAAAAATACCACAAATCTGTGCTTTTTAGGGGTATCTGGGAATTATTAGGGGCAACAGTGACTCAATTGGCAGAGCTTTGGTCTTTGGACCTAATGATCGTGGGGTCGTGCCCCCACAACCACCTGCTCCCACTGAAGCAAGAATCCCCATCGTGGTATCATGGGACCATGGGTAGTCATGGGACCTCATGAATGAGTATGAGTACAAGTATGTGGAAACGGCACAATACTAATATTGGTATTGGTGCATCCTTAGTAAAATAAACAGACTATAAAAGAAATGTCAGTATTAACAGTGCAGGTTTACAGTCATAGTGCAAGTGGTTGATTAAGTGATATAGGCCTAAATACAGATTATTACATGTATTTGCAGGGCTCATATTCTAATTTTTTTTTTTAGGGGTATTTATGAATTATTAATGTATCTGTATCATTTTCCATGTCCTCAGTGCCTCATACATACTTTACCAGCTGATATGTGTTTGTATTACTCTATTGTTAACAAGTGACTTACGAGACATAAGTCAGGACTCGTCTGCTGACACCAGGGGGCGCTGTCTAATCTCATGTTGAATCCTGCACCACGTTGGACATCTCGCTTGCAATTTAAATTTCACCAAAATATTGAGGTAAGTTATTTTGTTTTGTTTTTTGGAGTCTGTCTTTTAATCATTTTAACATTTTAAAGGGCATGACATTTAAACAGGAAAAAAAAAACTTGTGTAAAATTCCTTGGTTGTAATTCTGTGGCTTCAAAGAATACACAAAACTTGCAGATACAGAGCAGAGTGTATACTCCATAGGACAAAAGATGAGGCAAGGTGTATAACACAGGTTTGGTCACATAAGAAATAAATAACTAAAAAACCACTGAGACATTATTATTTGTTATTTATTAATAATGCTAAAGGCATTTGAAAAAATACATACAATACACAAACAAACACAATTATAAAAGCCACTTGTACCAATTTGTCCTTATAGTAATATAATGTGGATGACAAAGTGAGCCAAGAACCCAGAGATTTCTTTGTCTTTGAACAAACACAAACATCAGGGCATTTCATTTCAGGGCATTTTCATTCTAAAAAAAATGATTGTTAACTTTGGAGGATAGTGTGCTGAGGTGCACTTACTATTGTAAATAGAGAATTAAAGAGAAAGACATGTTTGAAGATGCTTATTTGAGCCTTTGGTGGCCCAGCGGCTGTATGACTGCTGCACGGCACCTGTATGACTGCTGCACGGCACCTGTATGACTGCTGCACGGCACCTGTACTTTCCCTCCGTGATCATCCTGAATCAAATGTTTTAGGGTTTCCAAAAAGTGTAGCTCCCTTATACCCTTTAAACATCTGATCCTGGAGCATTATACAGGATACAAATGCAGTGGAAATACAGGTGTCATGCTGCAGCCATCAAGACATGTTTTTCTCCTTAATGCCTCTTTTCTCTCATTTCTTTTCTGTGCAAAAATTAAGTGTAGTTAACCGGTTATTCTTGAATTACAGAACTACTGAGACGACACCTCAAGATGAGCCACACACAGAAGAGAAGGAAAACAAACTATATAAAAAAATGCACAACGTAATTCACTTTAATAGACCAATTATAAAGAATAAAGATTTGGTTTAGGTTTGATACATTTCAGTTTTGCACTTGGCTGTAGCTAATACATTTGCACACATTGCACTATAACATGAACATTTGTTTCCCCACAACCACATGAGCTGTTACTTTGTCTCCCAATACAGGAACATATACAGCTCAGTCATGAATAGCAGCAGAGTGGTGCCGCACATCACTGGAAGGACATGTTGAGCTACGTGCTAATGTGTAGAATAAGCCCACACCTGTTCACTGTCAATCAAAAAGGTGTTGCTGCGGGTCCGAAGTAGTAGGGTCATTCTGCGGCCTGCAGGACAGAGGCGTGTCGTGAAGAAGGCGTGTAAACTATGCCTCCAGATCCATATAGTCTCATTAGAAATTCCCAGATACCCCTAAAAATCCAAAATATGCTGTATTTTAACTGTGAGCCGCGACTCACAGCTCTTGAGTCAGTGGTTAACGGACATGGACTGCTATACAAACACATACTAGCTGATGTAGAGTGTCTAACATACTGATTACTTGTAAACAATGCCTCCAGATCCATATTGTCTCATTAATCATTCCCAGATACCCCTAAGGCCCTGTCCACACGAAGTCAAGCTCAGGCCTAAACGCAAAAATACTTTATCAATCCAGTGTATCGTCCATACGAGGCCGGCGTTTTGGGGGGGTATAAACGAACATTTTTGAAACTAGGTCCCAGAGTGGAAAGATTTCAAAACTCCGTATATGCCGCTCCGTGGTTACTGCCTCTCCGCAATGTATCTGAGACGCTTGCGTCATCGCCCCGCCTCTTGTTAAAGCACGCATGCGCCGCACTCAGAAAATAATGACAACAACAATGTAGCTTGTTGGTTTTGTAATCCAGTGCGACCCGAAGCAACAGTTCAACCTCATCGTCCGTCCATACTAATGTAGTACCAGCTCGCACACTCGCCATGTTGTCTGTTTACTAAATTCCGCGCATGCCCAGTTCCCGTCACGGAAGTTTGGGCTTGATCCCGTCATTGCGTCACAGCGCCACCAACAGGTCTGGCATAGTTTCACAGCCTTTTCAGGCGTATTGACTACATTCATATGGACCAAGCCCCGGCGATCCAAGATGGCGCCCTATTCAAATGAATGGTTGTGCTCAGTGGCGCTTTGTGACAGCATGGGGGCTGAAAGATTAGCGGAAGTTGCCTGAAACTCGCAAAGATCTATGGGAAACTCTCAAAGATCTTTGGGAAACTCGCCTGTATTTGGGCATCGTCTGGTCCTCCCGGTTCTGCGCAGTGGATGATCTCCCATAATGCGTTGCGCCAAACACGCGTGTGTGGGTCTCACACCGGATCTCACGCACGTGCACAGAGGGGCTCGGCCGCGCTCTGACCAATCAGAGCAGTTCATCAGAGCGGGAGTTAGAGCCAGAGCCAGAGGAGCAGAGTTTGTGGCACTAAAGTGTGGATTTAAACAAAACCGAAGGATTTAAGAAGAAAAAAAGTTCAGGATGACAAGGGACACTAAAATCCCCACAAAATCCGATCTTCATGAAAGCTGTAGGTTCTCTGTCAGGTTCTCTGTCAGGTTCTCTGTCAGGTTCTCTGTTAGCTGAGGTCGAGCTGTTTTAATATGCATTGAGTTCTATGGGGAAAATTTCTGGGTGGCCCACGTGAATTTAGTCTGGTTCAGTCTGCAGTACCGCGAGAATCCCCTGAGCACGTGAGTTATTCAGCTACAAGCTAGTAATACCCTATCCAGTTATTATAATAGATCCATGATATGGACGCACACATTTACTGAGCTAACTCCATGTTTACAGAAAAAGTTTCTGAAATTATAAGCGTTTTGTCTTCGTGTGGATATAGCCTAAGAAGCAAAGAATTGTGTTATTTTTAAATGTGAGTCACGACTTCTGGCTGCTGAGTCGCGGCTCACAGCGCCTGAGTCACGCGAGTCACCGGAAGTTGCCGTGAGTCGCAAATAGTGCTTGCCCTTTCTGTCGGTCTGACCGATATTTATTTCACCTGTATTCATTTCCAAAGCTGAACCCTTTAGTGCCCTGGGAAACCAAACGGGCCACTTTCTGTAAATCTAAAATCCCTGATTCACTCATAACGTCCACTTTGTCTGCTTTTTGGTGCATTGTCCAGACTATATATATTCTAATGAAGTTTATTTTGTTCAGATTGAGACCAGAGAGGAACAGGAGAGAGAGAAGGGAGAGACCACAAGAGACTAGAGAGAGATTTAGAAATCTGATGGCCATACTTTTATGTTTTTTTATTTATTTCTCTGACCTATTTAACTCCTAACAACAATAAAGAAAGACATTCTAATTAGTTTTGCCGAGTAGAGAAGACATTTCTTTCTATTATTAATATTATTATGAACATATGACCGGAGCGAAAGCATAATAGTGAAGCCATTCGAAGCCCCATCATCATCATCATCATCATCATCATCGAGTCTGAGTCGGTAATTAGATGAATACAATGTTGCGATAATTATTTTTGTTCCACATTTCTACGCCGACAGGAAAAACAGACGAGAAACATGAAAAACAAATAATCCTGTCTCGAAAACCTCGTTAATATTCTCACAGCTCCGTCAGACTCTGGGAAAAACAGCTCAAAAGAATGATGTGTGAGTGGTTAGAGTTTTGTGGACGATCTGCAACAGACAAAACAGGAACATTACTGCCTTTTATGCTAAAGCTAGAGATTTTAGACTGGCTTTTTTAATATGCCAAAGTTAGAGATTTTCTACTTTCTCCTCTCTTATGCTAATGCTACAGACTTTAGACTTGCTTCTTTATTATGCTAAAGATAGAGATTTTTGTAGTTGCTTCTTGCTAATCACGATGATTCCTGAACCAGCATTTGGCAAAGTTGTCCGACACCTGCTTTGAAATGTCTAGGATGAAATTATTGATGATTTTAATGCTTCCCAACTCTGATGCACAAACTGACAAACTGCTGCGATGGGGAAAAACCATAGACTGTAAATATTAACGGACAGATTCACGCCTATCTCCACAGTTCAAACATATGGGTCAAAAATTGTGCTCTACTGGAGCTATCCAAAATGGCCACGAGTGGTCCTGCCCACGAGAAAATTGTGAAAAAACGCATATAAGCATTCGTCAGCCGGCGCTAGGTGTACTAATTTAATTTAACCAATGCCTTCAAAA